CCCCCATCCACTACAAACACCTCGGGCTCTTGGTGGTTTCAGTGCGTCGCGTTATGCCAACGAGTAGATAGCATTGACTGGGGAGGTGGCTTCCGAGCTCTCGTTGCCTTCGGTCTCCTCTTTGTCCTTCTTCACCGTGTACTGGCCGATAAAGGAGCCGTCCTCATTAAACTGCCCTTCTCCCCCCTCTCCATAGTCCACCAAGCTATCGTCGCTCTCCTGCTGCTTTATCGTGCCGTCCAAGGAGGTCTGGCTGTTTGGCAGGGGTTTGTTGTCTTCGTCGCTGGGTAGCAGAAGACAGACAGACACAGTAAGGGTTGAGAATGGGGCTTACAACCTTCACCCAAGGTCTGGATATTCAAAAATAAATCCAGTGTGCAAATAGACTGGCCGGAGACCACAAGTGTGGGGTGCTCTGGCTGCAGGCAGCAAGCCGTGGGGTGTCTGGCCCCTGTGTGAAGGTGGGGAGGCAACCTCCGTGGAGGAGACCCACAGCTGCCTGTGGTTGGTGTTGCTCCAAGCCCAACCTTCGTGCTTTTTCTTTTTAGAAAGTGGGGTTTTTTTGGACCTATATTACATATGATGCTCAAATCAATCCAACTGGATGTATGTTATAAATATCCTTCCCTTGTCATTGATTATGTTCTTCCTTTCTCTTGGCATTTTAGCCAACCTCAATGTAACCTGGTTTAGTGAGGTTTGTTTCCAGATTTCCTTGCAAAAAACCACACTTGGCTCTCTAGGTAGCTACATGCACTGGGAGCACTCTCAAAGCACTGCGAGGGGGCATAAATAGGATGCCAAGTTCTGTGCAGCTTCCAAAACTCGTGGGAATTTACCTTTCCAAGCTTATTTCCGAGCGTCTAAGCTTGTTTGCTCAATTCTTTATCTTTTTCTATTTTCACTAGAAAGATTAAGCCAGGTTGCTGAAAAATAAATAGTCTGACCCACATGAAAAAAAACAACCCTTTAAAGAAAACCTTTTAACAAAAGAAATGGGAGAAGCTGTTTTCTCTCTTGGGGGGGGCAAGGGCTGATATCTCATAAATGCAGATAACGTTGTGTGGAGGATGAGAGTGGGTTACTCTATATAAAAATTAATTTTCATATCAATTAGCCCTTAGTTCATATTTGATCATACGTCCAGCATGCAAATTCTGTGCTGTTCCTCAAGGTATCATGTATTGCCTTGAACATTTGTCCTCCCACCTCCATTCCTGTCTTTTTATTGTTGTTGGTTTAGCTTGGGGCTCATCAGTGTTGCTTTATTTTTCTTCAAATCAGTAAAATATTGCAGCCCTTGATGGTCGGTGTCCACAGGAAGGTGTTTGCCTCCCTCAAAGGCACAAGAAACACTTTGCTTGAGCCAGGGAGCAAAGTGCTTTTCAGCTGGGGAGGGCATTAAATCCCTCTCAGGCCACTGAATTAATGGCATCGGCTCTCTGCAGTGGGAGAGGAATTTGGAATCCCACGCTACAACATGCAGCTTTCCAGCCTATTTCGTGGGGTCAGCACTTTGTTGAATTAAGAATTAAGCGATAATAAGGACCAATATTTGAGGCCTCGTGTTAACTTGGCATCACAATAAAAAAATAACTTGTTAGCTTTGAAAGCAGCTTCTTTCTGGGGGCAGGAGGAAGAGAATTCAGTCTGCAAGCAGGACTGCTGGTTAGAAAGCCCAGTGCTGAGTAGAGAGTGGCAAAACCCAGATCCCTTGATTTGCAAAATCCTTTCCCGAGGTTTGGAGTTCAGTTAAAGCTGAATCTAGAGCCAGATTTTCCCTGATGGGGGGAATCAGGGCACCAAACACCCCGGCAGTACTCTTCCCAAACCTGCCCCTTGGTTTTACCTCTCTCCAGAGCTATTTATCCTGTTAGTGCATTAGGAGGGTGAAGCAGATATTCATCAGCATCTTGATGCTATTTAACCCTGTTAGAATGGATTTCCGTGGGGTTTGCTGATGTGTGCATTAGAGACCCAGAGCACCCAGATGAAAAACATTTGGGAAACGTTGTCCTGAGTTGCATAAATCATTGAGAAGAGGGGGAGGGCTTGAGCCCAAGGGAGGATTTTCAGGACTGAGACAAAGAGTGGGTGAATTGTTTAGGATCTAAATGTTGGGGTTTTTTTTAACTCATGTCCCTCACCACCATCCCCAGGGTGTCTGGCATCAGGGCACTGAATGCCCCGAGGGCATCATCCCCAGGTCCAACCCTTGGCCAGTCCCCAGGAGGGATCAGCTGCTTGAGCTTGGGGCTGGGGGGGGCCTGGCTGGTGCTTGGGGGTGCCCCCAGCCCATGGGGCATTTCCAAGCAAGGTGCAGCTCGCTGGGCATGGGGGTACCCCTGATGCCAGCAGGAGTTAGAGGGATCTTGTTTAATGTGTTAGGTGGAGGCAGGTACATGGGAGTAGGGAGGGGAGGGTATAATTTCAGCTATAAAGAAATCAATAGCTAGAAGGAAGGAAAATAAAAAAAAAAGCTAAATGTGCCGGACTTCTGGCAGCACGTGGTCCTACCTTTCAAGAGACCTTCATGGTCCATGTGGATAGACCAGGTGAAAAGGAGAAGAAAGAATGGGAATAAAACAGAGAGAAGCAGAAAGAGCCTGATCAGAGAGAGATATGATGAGGTCTGCATTTACAGGGGCAGTGCTAAAAACCAAAAAGAAACGTCTGCATTCCTCATGGAGCTGATTGCCTCGTTATACCAAATGGAGCCAGTGTCACTCTTCAGAGCTGGCTGCTGAGGGAGAGCAGCAGGGATGGCAGAGGGCTGTTGGCTTTGGGTTGTTTGGGAAGGGCTGTAGGGAGCAGTGGTCGCTGCCAGGGGCTGCCGTGCACCAGGACAAGGGCCAAGTAAACAGGTCTCTCAGTTTCCCCTCCATCTTTCTGCTGGGTCTCCATGCTATAGTCGTGCACTGGTGTCGTGGTGTCTGTTGACAAGCCTACGCCTTGGCCAGACCTCTCCTCTCCTCACTGGGCTCAGGGGATGTCTCAGTGTCCTCCTCTCTTGACGTTTGCTGAGATGCAACCTGGCACTGCCTGCAGTGTGTGACCTGTGCCACAGGACGCTAGCCTGTCTCTGAACTGGAGCCCAGTCACTAAAACCACTCAACTCTCCCTTCCCTGTGCCCGGGGTTTCCAGCCAACTCCCCCACGTGCAGCTTAAACATTTGGTATAATGAGGCACAGTCATTGGCATAGAACATTGTCCAAGGATAATGGTCTCCTGCTTGGAAAATAAGCTTCTCAGCTTAGCCTCTACTCAGGAAAACCATTATTCTGTTAGTGGAACAGAAAGATGTGACAGTATCTCTTAATTATAGGCTGCAGAGATTTGAAAGTTGCATGCACAGGGCATTAAGGACGTGAGATATGATGAGAGCATATCAGACATGCTATGTGGAGGTGGGGAGGGAAACCAATGAAGAACTCACGTCAGCTCAATTCCTGTCCTTCCCTGAAATGCTAATTGCTACCCTCCTTGATCCTAACATCACAATCATCTTGAATCTTAATCAGCCAACAGTGTTTCATGTCAATCCTTTGGGTTCACCTTCCTTTCTACCTCCTTGAGGGAAGTCTCCTGCTACTTCTCCCAGGAAACCTGTTGTTCCTGGGAAGGAGGGGGCAAAGTTTATGAGTTTTGGGGATTTTCTTGTTGTTGTTCTTGCCTGATTGGTGTTTTCCCCACCTAGTCAGTGGGACAGTGTGCTAGAAAAAGCAGGAGCATCTTGGAGCGTGGTCGTTGCCCTTCTACTGACCTCTGCCTTTAGCCTGCAAACTTTGGGGAATGAGGCTGTCAATAAAAGTTTGAGCTTCAGCTAAGCAGGAGCTGCTGTGTAGTAGGATGGAGGATTTACCCCATTCCTTCCCATTGCCTGGAAGGCAAAACCTCTTGGATGGTGCTTGGGCACTAAATGCAGCATTGCTGACTGTCACGATGCTGCCAGCCATGCCAAGAGCTTGGTCTTCCTTCTACGCAAGGCAAGTGATCCCTGGCAATGCAATTTTCTTGGGAGCGATGGGGGTGAGGAGGTCTTGACCACAACCACCTCAGTGGACTCTTGAGAAGCAGATCTCTGAAACGGGTGCGTACTGCCAGAAGCTCGGCTGTGGAGACCTTGTCTGAGACCCAGGTGATGGAGCTGAGCCAGTGGAACCATGGGTGGGTGACTCCTGGGTGATGAGGTGTTTCAGGACCCCTATCATGACCTGGAGCATTAAGGGGACTTATCCTGGTCAAAGTATGGTCACTAGCTGTGTCGTTTGCAGTTCTGGCTGTGGCTCCTATCAGTCCAAGGAGCACTGCCTGCACTTGGATGGTCATGCCTGGCTGGGGATGGATTTGATCCAGAGCAAAGCCTGCCACAGGACCAGGCTGAGCCTGGCTGGGGATGGGTTTGATCCAGAGCAAAGCCTGCCACAGGACCAGGCTGAGCCTGGCTGGGGGTGTATTTGATCCAGAGCAAAGCCTGCCACAGGACCAGGCTGAGCTCGTTTCCTCTTTGCCATTCATGTCCCAGACAGGAACCTGGAGGGCACATCCCCAGGCTGTGACGTGTGTGTGGGTTTAACATCGTTGCCCCAGCGTTGACTTGCCACCTCTAGAAGTGACAACCAGCCCTCGTGGGGAGCTGAGGAAGGTGTTGCCCCTGGGTGTTGTTCAGGGCCATGAAGAATGGTGACCTTTCCTACAACATGCTGTTTATTCTGGTTCCTGCTGGGCTGTGTGTGAATTCTGTATCATGCTATGGGGACATCAGGGAGCTTTGTGCTTAGGGCATTCCTTGGAGAAAAAGAGTTGCTGCTGAAACAGAGTTACCATGCTGCTAACAACGTGGATGTGATCATGTTGGGAGCTGCAGTTGTTCTACTTCCATTTATGGATCGTGTGCAGGCAGATTTATTCATTTTGCTTCCTCTAAAGTCTTTGGTGGATCACGTGTGTCTTGTTACATCCCGTACTGAATCACAAATAAATTCCTCCTAGCTCAGCTACCTCTATTTTCTGATCTTTGCTCCCTCAATTTGTAATGCCAGGAATATTAGTAATGACACAGGGTTTGGCTAACCCCCGTGGTGAAGTCAGGAGAAGAATTCCTGCTAGCCTGATTGGGCTTTGGATCCAGCTCAGATGGAAAGGTGCAGTTTAATACTTTAAAGAGAAGCTGTAGGTGTTCAGAGGGTGGTGAGCTGGGTGTGCTGTGATTTGTCCCCAGCATCTGACAAGTGTGGGCAATCCGATGAGACCTGACATCCCTGCCTGCTCCTGCTCCTCGGGGGCAGCCCCTGGCAGCAGCAGAGCTGGGGATGCTGCACAGCACGTGAGCAGGCTCGGGAGAGCACCTGACCCTTTCTGAAATATCCTGGGAGTTCTCCTGGAGTAAAAGTGGGTGCTGCTGCTCTTCAAAGGGTGCTGTTTGGTGTGAAGGCACCCGAGCAGAGGTGGGTGTGGGGATTGGAGCAGAACTGCTGCTAAGCTGAGCTGCAGCCCTTGGAGGGTGTTTCTGTAGGTTTGCCTGGGGACCTGGTGGAGTCACAGAATGTTGGGGGCTAGAAGGGACCTCTGAGGATCATCTCGTCCAGCCTCCTGCTCCAGCAGCTCACCCACAGCAGGGTGCCCAGGGTCACATCCAGGCAGGTTTGGGATCTCTCCAGAGCAGGAGACTCCACAACCTCCCTGGGCAGCTGCTCCAGGCTCGGCCACCCTCACCCCAAAGAAGATTTTCCTTATGAAAAAGCATTTCCTTACAGAAAAGCCTCAACTGGAATGCAGGCAGGCCCCCAAATCAGCACCCTTGGATGCTTTTAGGGCTGATCCAAACATAACTTTGGCCATTTCTCCCTTAGATACTCTCTTATGGGTAGGAGAGAGGCTGAGCTACAGGGTGATATACCTGAAATATGCTGCAGAGTTTAATTATATTTTTCTTCTGTGCTTGGAGTGTCTTTAAGGCTGATCTGCCCCTGGCCAGAGCTGTGTCCTGGGTAGCTGATGCCAGAGTCCCAGCTCTGCCTGTGCTGATCCCCCCCAAGGCTGAGCCAGGGAGAGGAGGAGACCTTGGCAGCAGCCCCACAGCCTGGTTTTTAGGCAGGAAATATTTCCTGTGGTAGAGGAGTCGCAGAGGGAAGGAGGCAGGAGGAGGAAGGTGGGGGAGGTAACTGAAGAGGCTCTGTGGCACCGCGGGCGCTGCGGTGACGTGGAGGGGTCATGGTGAGGTCTGTGATGGGGGGAGTGGGGCTGATGGGGAGCCGTGGTGGCGTGGGGAGACATGCCAGTGGGAGCATACCTGTAGTCAAACGAGCCATCCTCTACGTTCTTGTCTTCAGGGTTTAGATGCTCGTCTTTATTGTCTCGTACTGTAAACAAGCACAAGCCCAACATTTGGGTTAAAAAGCAGTAGAGAAGATAAAAAGCTCTACCAAGCAGTCACAGCAGCTGGCACTGAGGCTGGCTGTGAAATCCTTGTGGGGTTGAAGTGCAGCTTTTCACCGACTCTGTAAAAAACCTGTATCTGGGAGAGCTCATGAAGGGCTCGTCAAGGTGGCACCAGGGCACAGAAGCTCCAGATAGCGAGAGGGGATGGATTAATTGGTGGATTTTCTTAAGCCTTATCTTTGCTTTGCAAAAAAATTAATGAGATTTTTGCCTGGAAAGAGGTTTTTCTAGTCAGGGACAAGCGAATTTGCAGACCTGAGGTTGGGTCGTGCATAGCAGGAGTGTCCATCTCCACAGCCCAAAGCCCTCACCCAGCCTTTCATTAACCAAAATGCTTCCTGCTAACAGCAGTGTTCCCACTACAGAGAAAACAAAAAAGCCCTTGCAATCACAAAGCATCTATCTGAGAGCAATAAGATTTGATTAGTCCCCAGAAGCCTGGAGATGTTTAAACCTGGAGCACAAACGATTGCCATGCAACGCTCCTACCTGGGTACTTCCCGCCCCTGCTCCTCTTGATGAAGCAGACGATGAGGAGGATGAGGACCAGGAGAGCTATGGCACACATCAGCCCGATGAACCAGCCCTGCGTGGCAATGTCCACCTGATTCTTGGTGTAAGCTGGGAGGAAAATTGAAAGAGAAAAAAAAACAAACCAAGAAACTCTAAGGGACAGAGCAGAACCACAGAGGGAACAAGATGAAGAGAAAGGCACAGTCCATCAGCTTAGAAATGATCCTCAGCGCTGCATTTGTGTGTCTGGGGGTGGGCTGACCACGTTATCTGAGACTGTAGCACAGGGATCTGTGGCTTTTTGGTTTTCTGTTGTGGTGGTAGGTTGGTCAACTCAACATTTAAACACGAGCTACAAACAGCGAAGGGTCCCAGCATAAAGTGGAACCTCTCACAGCCCAGTGGGGAAGGTGCATTGCAAAGAATGGCAAAAGAAGCTGGGTAACAGATTTGATCTTTCATTTACTGTGTCTGAAAACTGCCCTGGAAGCAAAGAGGTCTGAAAGAACCGTGCCCAAGGGGCTCCAGTCCCTGGATCCAGAGGGTAGCTGAGCCCTGAGCATCCTTCCTGGGAGTAACCTGGATCCTGTAGAGCCCAAGCTGTGGAAGTGGTGGGCAGTGCCTCTGCTGCCACCACCACTGGGGTCCTGCTGCCTTTGGGAGGCCATGGGGAGTGGTCTCCAGGGCTTGTGGAAGCCCACCAAGACTGGGCCAATGCATGAGTGGGGACGCAGTGGTGGGAACAGCTCTCTGAGGAATGACAGCAGGGTCCCAGATAGCTGAGGGGAGATCTGATACTACTGGAAAGTCTTTTCTCCTGGGACAAACTCTTCGTACCACTGCTTCCAGCACCCTCACAAGGCTACTGAATATTTTCATGCTTAATCCCAAGCGAGGAGGTGCCTTGTTGCCCAAACAACACTCCAGCTCCTAACTGCCATGTCCTCCCTCACGTACTCTGATGTCTTGTTTGCAGCTCCCATCCGCGGTCAGACAAATCTGTCCTATAAATAGCAACAAGCTGCCATTTTCTGGCTCTCATTGACATGCACTTTGTATTCAGCAAGACAGAGCAGAGGAGAAAATAACCTTCAGCGCAGCGGGGGGGGGTAAATTTGCAGTGCAAACAGAGAGAGGTGTTCCTGGCAGGAGCGTGGCAGAGCCGAGCTGGGTGGGATTGGACTGGGATTTAGCAGAAGGATGCCTGAAATGGGCAGGACAGGCAGCGGGCATCCTTCTGTCATGCCCATGTGGCAAAAAACAAGATGGTGCTTCCAAAGAAAGCCTAAAAGTCAGCGTTCTGTTACCGTATTCTGAAATGAAAGGCTCTTGCAAGAGAGACACCGACTTTAAAAATGGGTGGAATTGGTAAACTTTCCTAAGCCACATCATTTCAGGGCTCCAAACTTGTACTTCTTCCATCAAAATTGAACCCCAGAGAAGAGGTGCTTGCCTTAGGATGAAATCTAAGCCACGTTGTTGGTAGCTAATTGCCAAATTGCCAGCCAAACCATGACAAGGAAATTCAGATAAAAGAGGAGAATGATAAGAAAAAGAACCATTTGCTAAAGAAATTCTGTTGGACCCTGAATGCTCTGTGCTTGCGAGCAGCACCAAGGACCCTGGGTGGAAGAAGCTGCCTAACAGTGCCTGGGCTCCTTCTGCTACTTTCCCCCTCTGCTGCTGCCACATTTAATATTTACCTGAGCTACACAGCCCTCAACGATGCACTTTTTATAATGGAGAGAATGAGATTATAACGGAGTTGAGCTGAGAAGTGGATTCAATTAGCTGAGTGCTCGGGGAGGAAGGGCTAAGGGAGCTTTACTGGAGAGCTTGGAAATGGAAACAGATTCTATTAGCAGAGCTGATGGGGTTTCTACAGGGAGAAACGAGGGGGTCTTCAAAGTCTGAGAAGCCAGAGTAGCCTGGGAGGTGGGTCCATGCCCCCTGTGCAGACTGGGGCAGAGCTGGCTGAGGGAGGGAGGATTTTGGGAACCTGGTCACCGGGGGATCTTGCAGCAGGAGGGTGGCACTGCCCGTGGCTGAGGTGGAGCTGGAGTCACCATCCTTCCCAAAAAAGCAACACGTGGCGACCAAATTAGAGTCGCAGCAATGTTGGGTTTAGAGCAAACGAGTGACTGTCATTGCAGCATTGAGAAAGAGCAGGTTAAGTACTCGGCTGTCAGGATGTTTGGATTTGCTCTGATGGAAGGCCAATGTCGAGGGGAAGTGGTGGAAAGAGCTGGGTAGCCAAGCAGGTATCAGTCTGAAATGCAACTGCAGGGGCTTTCAATCTTTTTTAGATGAATTGTGGTCTTGTGGCAGAAAATCTGTTACCTAACGGCTGTACTTGATATGCCAATAGCAAAGCTGACTGCCTTCCACCCACAGAAAGTGAGGAAAATTTGGGTCTTTCTCTAAAGGAGACTGTTGGGGATGTGCAGCCTCACTGGCTCCAGCCTTGCACGATCCAATTCCCTGTGTTTGGACAGACTGGAGATTTTATTTAAGTATTTTTGATTTAGAAGACCTCTTTGTGTTAAGCTGTGTTTGTAGTTCAGAAGTGTCCTTTACTACTGGAAGGAACTTGGTTGGGTCATTGAGCTGTTAGTTCATCAGAAGCAAAGTCAGAGGGCAGCATCCTGCACGCAGCACGGGGGGACTACTTCTGATCTATCCACCCTCTAACTGAGAGAACCTTCAGAACAGCTCTTTGGAAAACATTAAAAATCAAAACCCACCAAAAAAAAAACCTTGCACAGTGCTTTTTTTTTTCTTTTTCTTTGTCCAGAGCATTCCTGATGGCAAATGATTGTTCAGTGAGGGCTGAACCCTTGTGTCAGCAGCATCCAGCCAGTGAAGGAATGGATCTGCAGCATCCATACATGCAAGGACAGTGATAGCTCTGTGTCCCCAGCAGTGACAGGGCTCAGGTCCCCAGTCAGCCTCTATCTCAGGGACAAAAGTCTCCCCATCCTTTAGTCCCAATTAATATCCACTAGGAACCCCTCAATTACAGAAAATAAATCTGCCAAGACTGCCAGCATCAATCAGCCAAGGATATTGCTTTTTCATTTTCCCCCCTCTCTATCATGATTCCTTGCCCCTTGCTGTCTGTTGTGCAGGGGGCTGCCCCTTCTCTCCCCCCAAATCCCAAAATGAGTGAAAAGCAGGTGAGAAAAGACAAGAGACGGGTCCGGATTGGGAAATAGTTATCCAGACATACATGTTGCCTGGGTTGGAGGAGCTGGTGGTGATTCCTGACTCAGGGGAGGGTCCAGCAGCAGAAACAGAACTGGGGATGCACTGTTGCAGCTGGAGCTTTTCTGGAGAGAATCTGGGTTGAAAAATCAGTTCTCTCTAGGGGTTAGAATCAGTCTCTGCAATGTAGGAACAGGGTTGGGAGCCCAGGGACTGGAAAGCTGCAGACAGCTTGTGTGTCTGTGAGCCCAGTCCTGCCCAAGCCAAGCTGTGAGAACTCCCGAGGCAAGGCAGTCGTGGCACATACAGCAGCAGAGCGAGGGGGAAAAACCCCAGTGAAAATAAATCCAGTTTGAAAACACATCTCTCTGCAAAGCCCAGCGTGTCCTGGGCGCTGCTGCGCTGTGGATGTGCCCACATCCTGGGGTGATGGAGCTGTCTGGGGAGGCACATCACACCTTGGCGTGGGGCAGAGGCAGGGCAGAGCCAAGGTCAGCACTCGCTGGTGATTTCCCACTGCTGGGCAGAGTTAGGACTGCAGAAACACCAGCAGTTGCCATCTGTCCTTGTGTCATCTTAGCAAGTCAGAGGGTTACTCAGCAACATTACAGCTTGCTAAATTTTTGGGCACTAAATAAGGTGTGCAGGGAGAGCTGCTGCTCCCCACCTTCCCCAGCAGCATTCCCTGGCTGTGAATGAAATTTTCCTTTTTCATTTCTCAGCAAAAAAAAACCCCCGGTAAGTGCTGGAGCTTCTCATTGCACGGCGGAATCTGAGCGAAATAATTCTCATTCTTTGAAAATCACAGCCTCTAACCTACTCCATCTGTCAGTGTGGGTTGCTCCAGTGGTGCTTGCTCCTTGGTTTTTCAGCTAAGTGTTTAGAGCTGCACTTTGACAGGCGTTGTGCACAGGTTCCTACAGCAAAACCCCCGGGTGAACACAAAGGAAGCTACGGCTGGTCTGATTTACTGGAACTCATCAAGGGTGAATGCTGAAGTTTTATAACTGCATAAAGCCTGTGGAAGTCATTAAGGGCATTTTTCTAGCATTCAGTGGGCAGTGTAGAAAGCCCATAATTAGAAAGTTGTAAAAACCACTCAGGTGCTCAGCCTGGAAAACTGCTCACACAATTAAACACAGCGTTGCCAGAGGAAAAGTAGCTGGAGGCTGGAGAGCCCTGAGCGTGTGCCACACGTGAGTCTGACCCGGGTCTTCTGCCACCACCGTGTTCCCCCTCCTGGGCCAGCATCCCACCCCCCTGCCCCTCTGCCACAACCTGGGGCTGGACACGTGCGCGGGGCCAAAGCAACCCCCATCCCCCGGAGCAGCAACGCGCGGGTGGAACTGCAAACACGCCGGAGCGGGGCTTCAAGCAGAGCCACATGACAACACGAGCACCTTCTCCACCCTCCTTCAAGACCCTTTCCTTCCAAGGGCTTCCCCATCCCCTCCTCGGGGGCTCTCCTCCTCCACGCGACGCCGAGCGACCTCCCGGCGATGCTGGGGCCGGGGAGCTCTCCGATACAGGTGGAGATGGGGAGGGGGCTGCCGGGAGGGGTGGGTGAGGGTCGTTCCATGCAGCCATGGTCAAACCACCTCCCGCCACCACGCGAACGGCCTCGGTGGTGATGGATGGGACATGTAAGCGCACCCCGCGGCGGGGCTCTCACCTGAGCTGGTGGTAAAGGTTATGTACGAGTGCTCGCTGGGGCTAGACCATATGGGGAACACCCACAGCTTGTACATCATTCCCGGCGTCAGATCCGCCAGCTGCACAGAGGAAGGGGTCTGAGCTTTAACAGGGATAGATTTCTCTGTCTTGTTACCTGAGAAACAGAAACCGCACATCAAACCCAGCCGCGGGAGGCACGGAGAGATTCCCGTGTTGACACTGCAGGCAACGGGCTCGGCTGGGC